TTGTATTATCTTTATAATACATAAAATAGTAAAACCCATAAGAATAATAATTACAAATATTTAATTATAAAATCAAATTGAAAATGTATAAATGGTAGTTAATAATACACCTTATTAAAACCTTCCAATGATAGCCTAGTGGTTAATCTGCCTGACATGTACAGAAGAGAATAATATATAAATTATATATATATATATATATAATATAATAACCTGCACCACTCAATATTTTATAATTGATATGCAGATTGAAATATCAATCAAGACAAAAGAAAACGAAATGCTCCCAGAATCATGAACGTACATTGAAGAATGTTGTTGATCATGTAAACTGCAATCGTAAATAAATTAGGATGAGTAAAAATCATACTTTGCATGAATATGCTGGATGTATATCTCTTTATCCAATAATTTGTGACATTAGTTAATTTAATGTAAGGTAACTAAGGTAAATAATGGTCCAAAAACACATAAAAATATCTTTCTCGAGTTAGACATATTTCAATTCTATTTCATACGTGAACGTTGTTATGACAATATAATAATTTTATTAGATAACCAACAAAATTGAGTTGTCTATTCAAATCAAACCTAATTTTTTACAATTCACCACCTTAAGAATGGTTATTGATTCGATTCGAAATAAAGTATTTTTCTAAAAGAACAGACACTAACCCGGCGGATATTCTTGATCCTGACGATGGCGTTAAAGCGATTACTTTCAACGCGGAAGTTTTATGGGATTATACATTTTATGAGCTACAAAATGGAATGAGTTGGTTGTTTTGCACCGTTGAATGCTTTAACGCAAACAAAAGTTTGGAAAATTGCGGCGTTTGCATTATCGGAATCCATTGGTATTGCGATGAAAAAAGGAATCGATGAGAGGGGCGTCAGGCTTGTCAATTTGAATGGTTTCGTATTACTATTAATATAGAAATATAATTATTAAAATAGGCAGTAAATGTGTTTAGAACCGTGCTCTTAAGCCATTGAAAATGTCATATTTAAGTAAATTACGTATAAAGTTGATATTTATTTTTATTTATTTATAAACTTACGCCTACTTCCTAAAAGTGTAGGTAGAGTCCACATTTTTTATTTGGCACGACCTTTACTTACCTTTCGGATGGTTCATCCTTTTTTCAGACCACATTCGTGCACTTTCAAGTGATTATGAATAGATTGCATCGCCACGGTGACGCTGCACATCCCTAGCTCTCTGATAATTTTATGGATGTTAAGCTAGTCAGTGTAAGCTTCATTTATTCAGGCAATAGAGCGTCCCCAAAGAGATTGTAGTGCCCTTATTAGTATGCTGCCCTCAGCATACACGGGTCTTCTACTCGTATTAAGTCTGAGCTTGAAACAGTTTTCAAGATTAGTCAAATATTGCAGGAAAACTGTTTTTAATTGTTTTTATGCGATTCGGCTAATGATGAAAAAAAAAAAAACGATTTACTCGAGCTATGTTTTTATATAAAATGATCTATACAAAGATAATTTAGTTTTTATATGATTTGGTCTTTCTTTCATTAAAAAAAATGTTTCGGCCCAAAGTCTAAGCGATTTTCATCTATCTATCAAAATAATACACCCTCTGCGTGGAGAACAGACATGAGTTTATGTTAAAATATGTCGTTTTACATATCAATTTTAATTTCATTCCTGATGTAAATGAGAAGCAAAAATTAGTTAATATAATTATCTTATGATATCAAATGATCAAAGCAAAATTTTATTGTAAACAGGATCGTAAACGTACATTGGATGTAACTCGTTAAAACAAACAGGATTTTGTGCTCGCTGACGTGGCGCTGACAGATCCAATTACAATTGAAGGGCTGGCTGTAGGGACGGACCGGAGGAACATACGTCAGTTTTAAACAAATTTCAAATAAACGCATAAGCCTATGTATATCGTCAGCAGCGTGTCAGAGTATCGCATTATTATTATACTGCGTGCCAAAGAGATCTATATCAATAGGTATATATCCATGTATAAATAATTTTATTTTGAACATATACTTGCACACATACACATAAACACACGTGTTACATTTATGCGTGTGCATTTATATATAAAAATATTTTTTTCATTATCTTAAAATGGTGCATCTAACATATACAAAGCTACAAAACGTATGTTTGATGTGAATTAGTTCAAGATTATATTAAAATGTGTGCTTGTACCGTTTCAAGCTGTAAAATAATTATTTTTGTTTTGAAAACTAGAGAAGAGTATAATTGTAAATGCTGGGGTAAACACAATGTGTGTTTCCAAAATGCAAGAATATGTTTTTATTTTATTTTATATATATTCAAGTGCATTTTTTAAAGCGTACTTTTATATGTAGTTACATATTTGTGAGTATTGTGAAAGTACGTCTTGTACAGAACATCTGAGAAATTGGAATACTCATCTAATTTACAACAATATAAAACTGTAACAAAGGTTTTGTGCAATAATTTGACTGTATGCCACGAATCAATACAAAGTATGTTTTTATTTCAACTTCGCACATATTAGTGGTTTAATAACTACTTTTTGGATTTTTATTTTATGAAGTTTTTTTTCAGTTATGGTAATGCTTAGAAAAAAGTGATATTTATATAATGTCACTGGACAAAATACTACATATACCTATGTATAAGTAATCACCAATTGCTATTTGTATAAAGGAGATTTAAATGAAACACACATGTTATAAGTTTTTATGCGTCAAACGAAAATAGACAAATAGTTGCAAAAAATTAAAAAACTAAGTGGTACATCTTAAGACTTTCAACGACTTAGGCTCCTCTTTGTTTAGGGTTTCCCTTAATATCTCATTTAACAAGAGGACCAAAGGAGTAACCGGCTCCCGCGTCTTCTCTAACCTGCTCACCTGAAGACCATGTAACGATAGCTGTAAAAAGGAGGGGAACACCAACCTAGCGTTCATTCCATAAGACTTCAGTAATGTCAACACGTTGCTGGCCGCAAGACAAAAAGAAATGGCGTATACTAAAACGGTGGTTGGCTTCTGAATGTATTTGTGAAAATTCACGTGAAGATGTGGAAGAGTACGTATTGGATTATTATTTTTCTTTTGATTTTATATGAGTTGTGAAATGTCAATTACGAGCATTGTATTATAGATTTAAAAACAAGTTTCACAAATTGCAATAGCATTTTGAATTTTATTGAACGTTTCGCGAAGGGAAATGATAATAATATTTGCACGTATAAAAGGTTTATAGAAATAATAAGAATTGTATATAATAAAAAATGTGACATCATTGCATAATAGCAATTACTTGCTGGTATATTTTTCGACGATGCTTGCACTATCATATCAATAGAGAATTTTACTAGATGGTGAAATAAGATCGTCCTCCCTTATGGACAGTTGGCCGAGGCAATACGGATCGAATAATCTAAAAAATACGCCGACACTCTATAATTATTTATAGAAAACAGGGAGAATGAGAAATGTTTAAAATATACACTATATTAGTTATGGAACAATGTCTACCGCGAATCAGACTGACATTTGAATGATTTTTTTATCGTTGTCAAAGGAATATAATTCAAGTATATTATTACTTAGTAGTATATTATTCGTTTTATTTATTAATCACTATTATTATGCTATGGTGTCGTTGTCGCGTAAGGTTTTAATCATCCCGCTTCTGAGACGTGCTCTTTCATGGCCTTTTTACTTAAGATTGAAAAGTTTTGCTGACCCGATGCGGTTTGGGAGCTGCTGACGTCAGTTGTTTCCTTAGCGGTTACGAGGTCCGCGACCGACAGCTTAACGTACTCTGTGGCACGGAGCGAGTAACTTGAGTTAAAAACTCAATGGTCCTTTTACCATTCCTATTTGATCAATTGATTGGTTGTGATTATTAATTGGTTTAATTTGGTTTGTAAAATATTTGAATCATTTAATAATATACTTAGATAAATGATGGAAACAACAATCCTCATCGTTTGGAAATATAAAAAGTGTAAGTAATGAAAGGTTTAGTTCTGGAAAAAAGAAGTTTCACGTATATTTTTCATTGCGCTATTAAAGGTTCACGTATCGGCTTATCAGTGACCTTCTTGTCAATTTGCTGCAATAATATTTTTTTTTATATTAATTTAAAACATGTTTTAGCTTAATTCTTTTTCAAATCGGTAGTTATTATAATTTTAAAGTTTGGAATGCACAAGAAGAATAATACAACACGGAGGTCGATCGAAACCAATCCCGTCGGCCCGCCCCGGGTAGGCTAATCGATGATGTCCGACGCCGCACAAGTTCCGAGATCAGCGGACGCCCATCAAACACGTATCTAGACCGGATAGATATAATCTTGCGGGCCGATGGCGTTCCTTTCAAAAGGCGCAAAAACTGATCAGTTTAATCAGGGGCGGGCGGGCGTCAATCAAGGCGGCTCGTTACCGGAACGAGAAGTGATTCTCCTCCCGCTGACCGAAAACGGCGCCATCGACTCCGCTGACCCGATAACTGCGGCGCGAGCGCTTTTTTACGGACCCGCGCCGGCGTCGATCCGGCTCCCGCGACCCTAAAATATTAAGCGGCCGGTTAGAAAATCGATGTCCGCCGTCCCGATTTCGCCGTGCCGATAATTAATTCATGTTGTGCGACGGTAATATATTTATAACCGATTAGGGTAGCACTTCATACGAACACTGTCAGTCGCCGTATGATTGCGTCTATTGAGGATAGAATATGAAGCAGTCCACTAAGTTTGATGCGCATTGATTACCATTGTTTTTCTATAGATCTATAAATGATTTTTATAAAAACATCTATTTTTTTTAACTTGATGAACCAAAATGAAAAAGTTTCATAATTTTCGGAACGAAGTTTGTAATGGTACGTTAGTATTTAAACGATATTGGCGAAATGGAGCTAGTCCGAAAAAAGTGTTCGACACGACACATTTCATGTTGTTAGAATTTCAAAATTTCCTTGAAGTTGTATATTTTTCTTCTTCAGTCTCCAACGTCAACACTACGTCGAATGCGTCGGTTGTCGTCCGATCACTGAAGTTAAACAGCGTAGAGCGAGGTACCGCACTCAGATGGGTGACCGCCTGGGACCGCGTGTTGTTGGATTTTTGTTGTTGTGATCTTTTTTTTTGTTATATTAATAAAGATGGATGATATATTTCATCGTATCTGTTACTTAACACATAATGTATAACGAATTTGGGTATCCCACGACACTTCTTATTTTTCGACGTTTATTTAATTTTTTAAAATTGAAAATAAAAACGTTACTTAACTAAAAGTGTATTCGTAATACGTAAAATTAAATAATTTTGTTTATGTTATCATAACAGTGCGCGATAATCAATTTTTCTTCATTTAGGAAGAAATTGTAATAAACATGCACGATCGTCATAAAAAATATACTCTTTAATGCCTTACGAAATAATATGGAATTGTAATAATATACCAACTTTTGAATCAAGTTTCGATAATGAATTACTAATCCAATATTTATTTAACTTATCTATATTAACTATTTTACATGAAAGGTTAATACTCGTATTTTAAAATAGGATAGACCATCTTTTAATATTACCGGTTCCAAAAAATAAAGTTATGTTGGATATTCATTGTTAGACCAAGAGACATTCTTAAATTTTACAAAGTTTTAATTGCTTTTTCCATGACGTAGTTGGCAACTTTGAAAGTGATAAAACTTCTTTAGAGAAAGGTACTCTAATTTGTAGACAATTAAATCAAATAGCTTCTTGCCTCTTGATTAAACTGAGATATCTCAAACTGTAAATTAAATTGATAACAAATAAAACAAACTATAAATACATAATTTATATCACCGAAAGCAATAATTGCTTTTTTTTTTATTCAGAGTTTCTGTTAATCTTCCATATAGTTGGCCCTGCATTTGATGCGCCTGTTACAACTCTCATACTCTTTCAGTATAGTCTCAGAATCCTGGAAGGACACTTTTGGTGCACCCTATTCATAAGAAAGGCAAAGGCTCAGACAGATCGCAATCATTTCCTTACTCTTTAAAATAATGAAACTCATTATCGACCGCCAGCTTTTGGGCTAATTAGAGGAAAAGCAGTTGATTAATGATCGCTAGTACGGTTTTCGAAGTGACCGCTTTGCTGGTGATCTTCTCACTTTATTGACCCACCGTTAGACGGATGCAATTGAGAACAAATGAGCGGTTTTGGCTGTAGTATAGTTATAGTGGAGGTCTTTGATAGGGTCGGGCACAAACCGCTTCTCTTGAAGCTTCTTGCTTATGAGCTTCCCGAGAAATTATGCTGGTGGACAGTCAATTTCTCATGGGAGGAAGCATAAACGTCGCAGTTAACGGTATATATTCAGATCCCACGCCCGTGAATACCAGTGCACCTCAAGGCTGTGTACTGTACCCTAATCTATTTTTTTTTAAATATCAATGATTTATTGAAAGCCGGTAACGTTTGTAGCTATGCTGATGGCAGTGCTATGAACGTGCTATACTCTGGCCGCACTAATATTTTTTGGGATTAATGAGTATCGAAACCAATTCGTGTCTGAAATTGAAACAGCCTTACAGCAAGTTTTGGAATGGGCCAAACTTAACTTTGTCCAATTCAAGCTCCGAAATACAAAACTTTGTTCATTTACCGTTATAAAGTTCGTTTCGCGTTTCTCGTCTCTATGAAAACATTGTCCTTAGTGTCACACCAAGTGTTAGGACCCTTGGTGTCGATATATCGAGCAGCGTTCAGTTCGGTGACCACCCATCAACAGAAAACTAGTTCCTGAAAATCTTGAGATACTCAAGAGAGCGCGACGGTACTTCAAGCCAGAGCAGCGTCTGTTATTTTAAAGGCACAATTTAGAGCACTGTTTTTACCACTGAGCTGGAGCACTCCAGTATCACCTTTTGATTCTAAGTGACCTCTTTCAATGTCGAGCATTTTGAATTGTCGACAATTCAGCAGTATCCGGCCAACTCGACCCGTTGGCTTTGCATAGAGATGTAGCATTTCTGTGCATGCTCCATCGCAAGTACTACGGGGAGTGCTCTGAAGAAATGTTCAACCTTGTTCCTGTCGCTGATTTCCGTCATCGTTACGTTCGTCGGCAATACCATCAGCACCACCTTGATGGCTGACCGTTACCACGGTGAGTTTTATGCGCAATTTTCTTCTACGTACGGAAGAATTTTGCAATGACTTACCATCAACGGCATTGTACGTGGATTAAAAAAAAGGGGTCCTCAAGAAAAGAGCGTGTTGCTTGCTGAAAGACCGGTAACGCACTGATGAGTCCTCTGGGGTTGCGGGTGTCCATGGATTGCGGCGACCTTCTACTTTCTAGTGACCCGCATGCTCTTTGCACTTTAAAAAACTTAAGCACTTAAGCAACCATCATATTATTCTAAAAAATCAATTTAAATACACCATTAATAGTACGATGTTAACAATTGATAATACAGTTTGTTTTCACATTCCCTATGAAATATTGCAGCTTTATTTAATGTTTTTATTTTAATTGTTGACATCGTAGTGTTATGTGGTGATAGCACATCTTTTGTTGTGTATCTATTTTATCACTGGCATTTAAAAAAAAAAGTCAGCTTGTTCATAAAAATTTAATTATCGACATACTACATATTTAAGACATAACAATATAAAACTTGAAATAAAATTCTGGATGGAAAAAGAAAATGCATTAGGTCAGAAAAATTAACTAAAAGAAAATATGTAATGTTTGCAAATGAAAAATATGTTTAATAAGATATATTTCATTTTTTTTTTACCATTAAAAAGGAGTTTACAGTTTTTTTTTTATTTAATGGGATTTTTGTCGGGTGGTTAATTTTATAGATTAAATTTAAAATAAAATTCCTAGAGTAGAATTATTGTAAACGCTAACGGTTCAAATATTTTGTAATAATGACATAATTAATGAGTTTGATATCAATTGAATAGAAAGTGATGAATTAATTAGAATAGTTTCGTGAGACGCGTGAACCCGTATATAAGGACTCGCGAGAAAGAAGGCAGAGAATCCTCCTAAACGCTACGAAGTACCTGCAAAATACCTTTATATAAAGTAAGAGAATTTCTTATTTAAAAAGTATGTTTACTTTGCATCGGTATATTCTAACGCATCGACAATACGCGACATATACTACAGATCCCTATTAATTATTAGATAACTATTTGTGGTCCTCATGGTTAAAACGATTGGCCAATTGTTTTTTCCTCTGCAAGAGCGAGGAACCTGTCTCCTCTTAATATATAAAAATGTTTATTCGTTATGAACGTATCTTAAATATTTTAGAACTACATTTGAAATTTCTAACATATTACTTAGACATCATAATATTTCCATAAAAACAAGTAATCCTATTTGACAGGACGTTAAGTAAAAAAATTTTTAATCAACAGTGACAGGGTTATAGTCACAGATAATAGGGCATTTCTGTACCTTCTAAAACTGAATACAAAATAGAAGACAATACAAAAATACGTTTCAGCAAATATAATTTCAGATATAATCGTGAAGGTGGGGCACTTTATATCAAAAATAAACGAGACAGGTGAGTACAGATCTTATGCGAAAAAAAAAGCGAGTAACGATACACGGCATTACAGCAGCGGCGCCGGCGGACGGGTGATTATCTTCGCGGCACGCCGAGACGGGGACAATAATGGCGGTAATAATTTGATCGTAATCGGGTCGCGCGCCGCACCGGCGCTTTGCAGCCGCCTTGGGAGCCGGGCTCTTTTAGTTTAAGCTCTCTATTTTGCGCGTCACCGGATACCGAAATCAAAGTGGATAATTACAGCTGTTCTGCTGCCTGTCCTAATCAGCTTTTAAGCGCGACAGCACATGCAGTGCCGGAACCGTGTTTCATGTAACAGCGCACCTTTGTCAGGGTAGAGCCACACGAGGATTGTATCCACACCGGCCAAGTCAGCTAGAGTGTGTGTAAATTTCAATAGAACCTTAAGCACTATATATTGAGCACTATGAGCTCTTTTAATGATATAGTACTGTTTGCATAACCGACTCGATAGCGTTGGTTATTTCTAGAATACGTTATTTCTAGATACGTTTACGAGTCGAAAATATAAATTGTTAATGTTACTTTATAAATACAAAATCATAGGCTTACAACGGAGTGTTTCAAAATAGGTAAAATTTAATTATAAATTTTAAATTTATAATTAAATATAAAACACAGCATTCATAACTATTATAGTACAACTATTAAATATAATATTTACTGCTAATACAACTATTAAATATAATACTTACTGCCAATATAACTGTTAAACATAATATTTATTATCATATTTAGCAAAACTGTCAAGTTCTGTCACTTAAAAAATCATTTGTTTAAAGTTAAATGTTAACTGACAGGTTGCTGTCAGTTACGATAAGAGCATAATATATGATTCTTAATAATCATAGATGTCGTAAGTTTCCGAAATGGAATGCGAAAAAAAAATCCGGATAATTGTCTATTACCATAAATTATTAAAGAAATAATCAAATGAAAACTGAAATATACCGACTACGTATATACCGTCAATGTCACAAATGCCAAAATGGCGGATTTAAAAGTTGACTTAGCATTTGGAGGTGGCCCATCGCACCTCCAGCATCAACTCTAAGATTACTGGTTAACTGGCAATCGTAGAGTTGAAATAACATATTTTGACATGCTTAGCTCTTAAATTTAACACCTAGCAGTTAATTGTTAATTGAGATTTTAAGGTACACCGCTGTTGGTGTTTTTGATTTTTAATGCAATATTTTGAAGCAGTTGGACACAAGGGCGAATCCAGCTTCAATTTAGAGGCGGGGTCACATGTACGAGGTTCAGTCGGGACTGCCTCTAATTCGATTACAATAGTGTGACAAAGACCAAGCCCAGGGAGGGTTATGACCCCCATTACCTTCCCCCTGGATCGACCAATGATAGGATATTAAAATTGAAATGCAACTACTGTATTATTTGCATAAAACCATTTAGATATCAAAGCTACTTTGCATTACAAGAGCATTATCAATGTATTTCAGCAGCATAACTTGGTCTTATTAATCCTACTATTACAGCAGACGC